TAAGTCAGAGTATGTAAGTGGCTGTGGTTATTTCGCAAGCGCGAGGAGTTATGTTAGTGGTAGACTCTATGACCAGGGTTACGAGAGTCACGGTTGAGAAGTCGGCGGATGGAGGCATAGAATGACTCTCATCGAAGTAAAGCATGATATATTGAGGAGGTTGAAGCGCATGGTTAGCACGAGATCGGCAGATAAGATGCTAGGGGTTAGAAGTCGGCGATAAATTTATACATCTGATACGAGTGACTTTAGCTTTATTGTAAAAAACGGTTCAGAGAAATGTTTCCCGTCGGAGTTGCGATTGAAGTTGATGCAATCGCTTTGGAGCTTACGTGATGGAGGAAAAACGGATTCTTACCATCTGAGCAGAAGTGATTGTAGATCAATTGGAGAAGGCATGGGAGAGTAAGCATATAATTGGACTGTGTCAGCTGCTACAGATAAAGAATTTACTGTATTCCTAATTTGATGAAAATATAAAGCAAAGAAATTTTTTAAGCCTTGACCTCAACACAACAATGGTAGCTACATATATGATAACACTTTATCTAGAATGGAGTATGGGTTTTTTCTTCATTTTTTTTCTAATTTTATTCTTTCAAAATATTTTTATTTAACTTGAAATGAATATATTCTATTTCCTTAAAAGTAGTTTCTCCACAACAATTTACAGTTATACCGAACTAGTTTTCAGTTTCGGAAGCACTGTTGAACCGACCTTTTGAGTACAGTCTTAGGATCAGCACACTAAGATTGTATTTCTAAATCAAAAACCCTGTACTTACTGGCTAGCATTAATGGCTAGGTCGACGGTTGGTATTATTACTATATTGGTGTTGGTTGATAATATGTCTCACTTGTAGTGTTTGTGTTTCATTTGTAGTTTCATGATTGAAAATTCTGATATTGAATAATATTTTGAGACAGATCAAATATCATCGAAAAAAAACATTATTAATTTTTAGAATGATGTATTCAATATAAAGAATATATTTCTAAAGCAAATATTATTTTGTCTCCAGAGCCAGTTTCATTTTACCTAAATGCATAATAATGAATGTTATTACTCGTATATATTTCATTTCATTTCAAAAAGAAACCTAATCAAAATCTTTTTTTACAAAATAAGTCATTTATAAAAGGAAGCTTTTCGTAGTTAAGTGCTGTCTAGAGACTCCAAGGAATACATTTCCTAGTAACAAACATAATTTAATATCGGAAAAAAGACCACAAATAATATGAAATATAATAATAAGAATTATAAGTTCGCATAGCCGTAATACTATGCGTATATATATAGGTATATACTATATGGATGGACATATGTGACATTGCTTCGCATTTTGTATGGCAGTATGTTTCGTCGTGTTATTAAAAAGTTTCCATAGTTTATGTACAATATTGAAACCTAAAAATTTTTCCCAATGGCATATTTTATATTAAAAAATGAAACCAAATACATAAAGCAGCTGCACAATCAAATACTAAAAATTTATTTGAAATGACAACTGGGAATCGCAGCCGCTGCAAAGTATCCCAAAAAATTATACAAAAATCGTTCATGTGTTTAAGTATTAAACAAAATGGACAACTAAAATTAATAGCAGTAATCAAATGTCAAACATATTACGGATTCCCACCTGAATTGATCAAAACGTGAAATGTAATTACGCCTCAGAAAAACTCCAATGCTTTCTCCATGGCAAATTATAATTTTATAAATTTTGTTGGTTTTTATAAATTTTTTCATAAATTCTTTAGTTTCAACTTTTATTTCGATTTCCGCATTGCCGTGTGAAATTTTTTACTAAAAATCCGGAAATATTCGTATTATTTTTTAAATTAAAAGTTTTACGTGCGCTGCAGACGACAGATAGAAATTGTTGCCTAATATCAAAAATAAATCCTAAAAAAAATACATCAAAATATAACATAAAAAATAGCAAAAAATTAATCAAACTATTAAATAAGTAATTAATTAATTTTATTAAAAATTACACTAGCTTACAGCCAAAAATTTCCAAAGACGAGACCAATATTTCCCATCGGGAAATTTATCGTAGAACTCGAAAATTATAACGATTTTTTTTCCGTGTACGGTTTGCGAGTTCTTTACAAAAAACTTACCACCACAGCTCTCACAGTATTTTTTATCAAATTTCCTCTATAGGAAATATGGGTTTCGTCTTTGGAAAACAGAACTTTTAATTATTTGTAAACTAGTGTAATCTAATAATAATATAATAATATTAGAAATAGCAGGAGAAGTAGAAGTACAAGTAGAAGTACAAGTATAAGTAGAAGTACACTTCTAGAAGTAGTAATATTTGTAGTTAAAGTAGTGGTAGTAGTTTTAGTAGTGTAGTAGTAATTATAGTAGTAGTTATAGTAGCTATAGTGAGAATAGTAGTTGTAATCCAAGTTTTGTTGCAACCAATTTGATGAAACAAAAAAGCATGGCTATATCATTACCCAAGTTAAGGATCATTGCAATACACAGCTGATTTCAATAATACCCTTTCATGCGTTTCAATCTTATCTTCGACTAGTTGCTAAGTTCTGAAACTAACACAATTCTTGACTGTATTAAACTGAGGCCTAAATTTGATCCCCTACTTAATGACTAAAGAAAAGTCTTTCTTCATTCTACTATCTATCTAAATCTAGAAACTGGTATACTTCAAATTTAGCAGCTCGTTTCTACGTTTCTTTCACCCACTACAGTTTACCCACATATATAATCTCTTCAATATATTTCTAATTTTAAATCAAAGTAATCAAACGTTAAAGAAATTGTGACTTAACATATAACATTTTAAATAAGATTTTATATATCAAAATTTTCATTCATTATCACATCACATATTTGGAAGTACACAATTTCTGTCTAATCTTACTGTTTGAAGATTGTCAAAAAAAAACAAAAAAATGAGTTGGAAGAACTCCAAACTTATTAAAATTGCAAAAACAGTTAAAGAACAGAACGAACTATTGGGTAAGAAATTAGAGAGGCCAGAAAACTTCAAATTCAATATTACAAGTACAAGTAAGTACCTTCTTTATGAAATGCTTATAAACTTTACTTTACAGGTTCTTAAAAATAGCATCAAATTTTTATAATTTTCTTATAAATAATACTCACGATTTGAACACAACTCATCCAATGCACTAAAATAACTTTTCTTATTTGAATAGTAGTAAGACTGCTAAGTAATGTCTACGACTCTAGAGTCCAATAGCTCAATACCGCAATAGCTCAATATTTAATCTGACAAGAAAAAATATTTATTATTGGTTTTTGATTTGATTATGATTGATTTGAGTTTCAATCCGAAGTAGAGGAACCTTAAACATATTCTAGTTAAAAATCATATAAAATTCTCAACCATTCTCACATCAAATATTTTGGAAGCCCACAAAATATGTAGTTCTAGCCTAATTTTACATTTTAAAATTGTCATAAAGTAAGTTTTAAACCCAATGAATTATTATATTTTATTCAACTATTCATAAAAATGATCAACTAATTTTTTTCAGACGGTTTAACAGCACCTAGAAACGAAATCCAAGAATGACAAAGAAGTGTTTCCACGGGTGAGTATCCTCTTATTTAAATTTTAATAAAAGTCATTTGATTGATGTTAAGCAGTGAGCGCGAATTTATATAGTAATTATTATTAGTAGTATTTCACTGTATAGTATAGTTTGAATACAACTCCTAAAGACACGAAGGTTCTATACTAAACCCTAACATTTTTGTCAGAACAGAAATTGAAATGAAATAAATCTTATCACATTTTTTCCAATACAACCAATATAAGAATTCTTAATGAATGCTTTCACGATAGCATAATATATAATTCATTCACAATGTAGAATATATAATATATCGAAGAACATCTTTCTGAAGAACATGATAAAGTTTATGTTTCTTTACAGCTCGACCTATGACACCACAGACCAATGGCGGGAAACAGATGATGAATTGGACAATCGATAGTAGATTGACAAACCTCCAAAAGAATTTAGAGAAGATTGCAGATAAAAAGTATAGTCGACGCAATCATCGATCAGGAACAGAAAAAAAGTTGCGACAATCTGCCAAGATCCGTACCATGCGAAAACTGCAAGCTGTGAATACAGATCAAGAGGAAACAAAAACACCCCGTGCAGATGATAATATTGACGTTGAGGCACCATCTGCAATGTATAGTTATTGTGATTTCACCTGTCATATGAAGAAGCTCAATGAAAATAAAATTAAGAGCTCTAGAGAAATGACTGAATTGAAGGTGTGTTTGTAATAAACTTTATATCAAGAGTTTCAAAAATTAAGCATCTATTTTTTCAGGAACTAAACCGATAACTATTGGCAATCAGAATATACACTTGAATTAAAGACATTTTTTGACAATTTTCCAAATTAATTATACATAATCTATAGTTTTAATGTAAATAAATTACAGCATCAACAAAAATTAAAATTTAATTTTTTGAGAAGGGAATGAAAATATCGTAGAGTAATTTAACATAATAAATATGCCTGACCAGATTAACAACCTGACAGCCTGATTAACAACCTGGCGATTTGCATAACTCTAATAGTCTTTCGGAGTTTAAGCTAAATTATTCAATGAAAACTATAGACTTAAATGGTTTAAGTACTTTCATAGTGGTATTACCTTTACGATAAATTAATTTTGATAAAATTAATTTTGATATTTCTAGTTAATTTTTTTATTTAATGTCTGTAGAAATTTATATGAAATATAGTAGTTTTTTTATAATTTTATCCAATGATTCACTAAGACAACAAGTGAACAATTTAATTTAAAGAATATTGCTGACACACCCTTGTATAGTTTGTGTAATTAAAATGGTTAATACCTTCCAACTTATAGTTTATCACTTAAGTTTCTATCTTCCCATATGAGTAATATCAATATCTGTATATATTTATTTAATGTTTGTTCTATTGCATCAACTACTTCCGATGGTCTATTATTCTTGCTCTGCTATGGTTGATGTATCTCAAGTATTGAAAAGAGCCATCCCACTCCCACTCACTATACGTTCACTTTCATTGAGTGAACGCGACTCTGTTCGAAATGTGGAATTAAGAGTTGTTGCTCGTTTTAATTTTCTTCATTTTCTTTTTGGTGAAATCTTTTAATGAAATTCCCTTTGATTTGGTTAATTATTGCAGTTTCTTGTGTTCCATTCAAACGGAACCAATTTAATAAATTATGGTTCTGTTTCCTTATTCTGCCAAGTCATATACATGCCACGTGGCGCCAAAATGCGAAATTAAAAAGTTGGAAAAGCAAATCAATCAAATTTCTTACCAAAACGTTTTATTGCTAATATTTTTATGTTATTCCCCCATTTCGATTTGCCATTTCATTTGTTCCTTATTTCTTATTTCGCATTTAAAATTAATAAGCGAATAGCGAGCGAAATCTGCCAGCGAGGACACATGTTATTTTTCCGATAGTGGTTGGCATTAATTCGAAATGAACGTTTTTGCTCGAAATTAGTTACGAACAGTTTTAATCAATTACGTTTTTGATGGAATTTATTTTAACTCGAGTTTATCCCTTCGTTTCAAAACGGTTTACTCCAAACAAATTTTAATTTTCATTAATTAACTGCTTTCGATAAGTCGTCCAATTCAATTTAATTGAATTCCATTAAAATTTGAATTAAATTGAACATTTCAGATATGTTCAGTTGACATTAATCGCAATCACTTCGGAAATGAGTTTTATTATAAATTAAATTAATATTTATACATTAAACATACTTTTTAAATTGGCTTTTAGTTGCTTAAGTGGTGTTCACACCAACATATTTTTTTAATTCAAAACGATAATCGAAACGATAATCACACAATTAAATTTGTACGAAACATAAGAATATTTTACGTGACCAAAAAGTGTCATTCGAGAAGACAACTGACTCTGCAAAGATATGAGAAAATACTGTCTTCTGAGATATTATAATAGTTTTCGGTAAGGATGATGTATCTTGCAAAATCTGTGCTGGAAATAGATAGATTTTGACGATTTCAAAAGTTATTTTCAACTGTTTAGAAATAATAATAAGAATTTTATCATGTGATTTGCGACAATGTATGAAACTTACAACCAAGACTACCAAGACCAAGTAGAGGTTCTCAAATTTCATCTAAAAGTCTTTTAACCTCTATAGCGAAATCAAAAACTGATGTACCAGCTAAAGTAGTAATTTTGAACTGTTTAGAAATAATAATAAGAATTTTATCATGTGATAAAGTTACCTTACTACACGCCAAGATAATGTTTCCTAAACTTTACCTAAAAGTCTTTTAAATTCCATAGCGAAATCAAGAACTAATGTAACAGGTAAAGTAGTAATGTTTTAAAGTGGCTAAACACAAAATCTTTTCATTTTATTTCGCTTTTTATTTTAATTTTTTTTTTTAACTATTTTTAAAATATAAGAAATAAAAAACTAACTCAAAAACTGGATCTATCATCCAACGACCATTGACTGTTTGTAGACTCTAAAAGAATGCTCTAAATACAGAGACTTGGCTGCAATGAAAAAAAGATTGTTAATTCTGAAACCAGTTTTAAGTTTTAAAGAAAGGTTATCAAGAAAAGAAAGGTGTCAGGAAGTAAAAGTAACATTGAAATGTATTTCTCCTAAAGACGATAATGTTGTGGAGTACAGTCAATTTTAGCCTAACACAGATAATTTTATTAGTCTGTTTAGCTGATGTACTACAAAAAAAACATATAGTCCATACTAGGAGGTTTTTATAGTACGACAGATACTAGAAACGATATATGGCTTCTTCTTTTATGAACTAAGATAAAAAACACTGTTAGAAATGAGGATCATAGAAAAACTTTTTTATACCATAATAAACTACATTGACTAATTTGGTTCAACTATTCCACAAATGACGGAACCTTGACGAAAGTAGTGAAAAGTTCTCAGTTGCTGAGTTTAGCTTGAATGTCTACAAAAAGTAGTCTCGCTTGATACTGGGGCCTAGAAATAACACGAGTTAATTTGTCTGTTTTAGTTTCGTTATAATTAAATTCTGTAAAATTAAAATGTAGCCTAAATCATCTGTGGATTCGTCTTACTGAGACGGTAAGAAAAATAGGTGTATGTGTGGAATCTCAAATTTCATTACTCATTCACATTTCACACTACTTACATCTTATTAATGTACTAAATAGGTAGATTGAAGTGGAGGCCTTGTTTTCAAAAAAGCCCTCTTAAGCTCAAACGATGGCCCATTGTGGTACCACGGAATAGCATTGGTACGTACATAAATTTAAATCAGTTCTAGTGTGGTAGGTGGGTGTACTTTAAAGTTTCTCTGTCACTAAAAACTGAAGAGATTCACTGAGAAGTTATAACAGCAACATCTAGACCCTTGCAACAATATCTAGAATAGAACATTGATTGATTACAGCTAGCAACATCTTCATTATATAGTCCAATATTCTCACTGATGTACGTCAGCAAAATATGTTCAAAATTGAAACACGAAGAAATTAGAAAGAAAGTTTCTATATTGTCACTTTACTAAGATTTTTGTTGAAGCGCTATGTGTGGTAAGTAAGTAAGAGTTGCATTTATGTGATGCAACTCTGTAGTCTTTTAAATAAAACATATCTCGCATAGCCTAAAACATGCTTAATATTTAGTTTGCCGCTTAAAAATCTTTTTTGGAGTTAAACATATTTAATTCGACTATTTGCAAAGGTCCTTATATCGTATAATTGGTTGATGAAGCTTTTACGTGACACAAAATTAATTTTTATCCAAAATTTACTCGACATAAAAATTATTCTAAAGCATTATTAAAATTATTATAGTGCTATTAATATGATATTATATACACATAATATTAATATTGCTTTGATAAAAATATTTAAATAGGCAACCACATGGAGTCAAGCATATTTCCTTCGGAACCCATGTAAGAGCAAAAATTCAACAAAGTGTTCGAATTCAATCATCGATTTGTATTCAAATATTTTCCAGTCGACATTTGTCTTTAATTTCGATTTATATAATTGCATTCCCTGACATTTTATTCCGTTTCTGTTTTTATTGCAGAAATTCGCACATTAAAATTTGGCTTTATTCCAGAATTTTGCAGCTGTTGTTTGTACTTTTATTGCGACTGCATTTGTTACTGAGAAACTTGGCTTCTGAATCATTTACATATCTTTCAGCGTATATCCTTATTCCTGTCACCTCTTATTGAATTTTTCGTTTTGTGAAATGTGTTCGAGATAACTTTTAAAAATATTTGTATCCATTTTAAAATACAAGACTACATCAAGTGAAAGAATGCTGAAAGCATCCAATCCATTCCTAAAACACTCTGCATAATAAGTTTCAATAGTGAATTTCAATAGTGAATCTTTATGTATTGATTTGTGGCCCTTCCTTCTGGTTGTATATGTACTCAGTACATTCATTTTCAGTTCTAAATTCAGTTTTGTTGAAAATGAACACAATAATGAATAAGAATAACTGAATAAATGCGCATTTGTAAATTCAAATAGAAATCTTGTGACCACTGAGGGTCTACTTTTAGTGGATCCACTAGCTTATGACTAATCCGCCAACTAGCACCATTTATAATCTTATGTTCGAACATTGTTAAGTCTTACTTTGCTACTATGTCCAGCACAAATCTACTGTAAGAAATGTGTATATAGTGATACATTTCTATAATATGAGACTAAATGTTTACATTCGTGGTTATAAATTTGCCAATTAAAAACATTGTCACAAATATATAGCGATTTACGAATTGGTAGTGCACTATATTAAGAATATCTAAAAGCAAATCACCAACATTAATGAATCCAAAAACGAAGTAATAAACAATAATATATTTAGCGCCAATCGGAGTTAGCTATATATTACAGATTAACTTCCATAACACGAACTTCTATAATTCGAGCTGAAAAGAGTGCAATAGGGTTTTAGAGAGCAAATTACATACAATTCTGCTTCCATAACTCGAACTTTTATAACTCGAATTTCTATATAAAGATATTCGCACGTGCCAATAGAAATATGGGAATGTGCATGCTATAAGTCGAATTTTTGTTTTTAGTATGAATCTATTTTGGTGTTAGGGGAAGTCCCTTTTTCTATCCAATTGTTTAATTTTTTTCCCTTATGTTTGCTTCTTTGTATAAATGTCAGTCGTTGGCAGCGTGGTTTAAAATAAATAAAATAACTTCCAATGCGACTCTTAAGGCTTATATTTTGTACATCAAGCTTTCCTACAGATGACGTTATTATTGAGCCTTATTGCTCTGAATTAGTGAATACGATTCTAAGCGCAGCGGAAAGTGATGATGAGGGTTCGGTGAATGAAGTTGTTCATCAGCCTCCCAAGAATGAAATTCATTTAAAATTCTGAATTTTTATTTACAAACAAATGATACTCCATCTGAAGATCACTATTAGTTTTGGAATAAATTGGAATCTCTTTTTACTGAAAAAAAGAAAAGGAAATTAAAATCCCAAACTCTAATTTCTGAATATTTTACTTTACTATAACTTCTATGCTGTATTTGATTTCAAAAAAATAAATGAATAATGTAATTCTAGATTCTTCCAAAAATAAAAAAAATGGTGAAAATATTCTCTAACTCAAAGTCTCCATAAGTTGAAAAATTAAAAAAAAAATAACGAAGTATTAAGCAATAGTTCAATGATGGCATAAAAACCTATACTTCGCCACGGAACACTTTAGACTTACACTAAAATTGTTTAAATGAAATTGCTAGTCAAAATAGTTAACTTGTATTTAGTTAGCTTTAGTTAGTGCTAACTAACTGTTATTATTATTATTATTAATATTGTAACAAAAATAATAAAAAATGTGTGTTGTTCATAAACTGTTTTTTTGAACTGCTAAGTATTTTTTTTCTTCTTGGATGGACGGAATTTGTCTATCCAGACATACGTTTAATGTAAGTTAAAACGGTGATTATTTTTTTAGTTTCTCTATAAAAATGCATTCTCAGCTTTCACTCTTTCTTTCCTTTATTACTCGTGTGCATTCATTTTGTTTTCATTTTAACCACCCCTCTGTAGCCTCTTCAGTCTCTTCAGTCTCTTCAGTAGCGTTCCAATATTCTGCAATCTTCATGATAGCATTCTCTACTCCTGGCGTTTGGCCAGGATCTAACGATTGTTTGAGTGACTGATGCACTTTGATCTTTACCAGATCATTTACACGGTCCCAGCTTACTATTCTGATTGTTTATACATCTAGAATTGAAGAATATTGAATTAAAAATTATTCACCTGAAGATTATTGGAATACGTATTGTGTACTATACGAGAACGGAACATCAATGATGACATATTTTAATTTGTTAGACTCACAAGTCTATAACAATTTTCAATTGCGACTGTTTGAAGTATATATCATTCGCATCCTTTTTTGGACTAAGAGGTACTAGTCCAATTTTACATTTAAATTCTTGGCAACTCATGCGATTTCATTTGCCTCCACTACATTACATTTTCTCTTCATTTTCAACGCAGCCTTCAGTTGGAATGTTTAGTGTCAGAAAAAGCTTAGCCCTTAAATGCTGTAATACATAACTGGTCATTAATTGATTTTAAATATTTACTTATTCATTTAAAATCTTACCTCATTTGCAACTGACATTGCTTCATTACTTCACTAAATGAATTGTTCATGCCACCTCATGTTTTGTTGAAGTTTAGTATTTTATAAACGTTAATACAATGCTTATTGAAAGGTTCCATCGTAGTGGTTTTTAAAAGAATAGATTTGGAAATCCCAAGACTCCTAAGATCATTCTTCACTTCTAGTATTTGGACATCACCTCAAGATTGTTTGAGTAACTGACATGCCTGGATTTTTAGTTGGTAGTAGTTACGACCCCAATTTTGTTTTCTGCTGGTTTTAACATCAATTGTTGAAGACGAGTATTTCTTTTATATGAACACAAGATCTATTTAAATTGCGAAATATTGGAATATCATATTAATGATAATGCATTTTTCTGAATAACAAGCTTAAAGTGATTTTCATTTGTTACTGCGTGAAGTGAATATCAATCTCATACCTCACCACTCAATCTCACCACTCTATGTCGAAGTCCAAATTTAAGTCCCTAGCGATGCTGAGAATTAAGTAGAAACTATTCTCTTTGTTCCTCTTACATCCTTCAGTTGGAAGGCATAGCCACATAAGGGTTGTGAGAAGTTTATTCTTAAATGCTACAATATATAATCGTAAACTCTCTCATTAATTTGTAATAAATAAATGTTTGCTTATTGAAGTAAAATCTCACCTGATTTGCAACTGCTAACTGTTGTGTTTCGTCAATGTTTTTTGTTTTTTCCACCTCATACGCTGCAAAACTAGGTCTATTCGTCAGAGCATTAGTTCGTTTACTAGTTCATACATTTTTCCGACTAGTAACAATATTTTGATATTCCATGCACCAATTCGCAAGTCATTGTAATTGTTTGGTGAGTTATTTGCATTTAATTGGAGTCTTTTCTTTAAAGAAAGTATGATTAGTCCTAATACTCCTTGTTTAGGAGTCTTCCTTAAACTTCATTGGGTCTGTACCGCATTTCCTCAGTACATGATGTTAGGGTTATCCCGCCCTTATTCGGTCGGTAGAGCCTCGTTAGCGAACACAGGGGACACCAGGTTTTAAAAACGGTGGGTGAGGTTACCATTTGGAAAGCAGAGTATGGACATCCTCAATGCTTTCCCTTGTCCCCCTTGTCTAACCTTACTCAATCTAAATCACACTTCCTACAACATGTGTTTGACACTAAATACATTATACATGTTGAAGCCCCTCTAAAACCTGTGTACTTTGCTATCTATATAGTTAGATAAACACATACAAAATACAGAACGGCATTAAAAATCTTAAAAAAACACATAGAGACAGTACAAAAGACTATGAAATACTCAAATGTAATCGATATATTTATATATCAGACACTACTGAAAATGATTTGCAAAAATAATGGAAGAAAATTAAAATGATAATTTATCAAGTAACAAAACGCATTGTATCCAAAACAAAGCAAAGTCTCCTATAAAAAAAAAGAAGAGTAAAAGTATTTAAGGAGAAAATACGGCATGAATCATAGATCCATATGTAGAATCACTAGCTACTGCCAGAATTTCATTGGATTTTTTGGAGCCTTAATTTGGTTTATTATATCAAATGTATGATTTAAGTTTTGTGACAACCAAATTCTTACCATTTTTCAGGAAAGATCCAAGCTATTAGTTGGTAAAACATCAACTAAATATAGACTCAACAAATA